AATGGATCAAACTGGGAATGGGGACAGTGACAACAGCGCGGGGACGGCGGGAGGGACAGAGCGGGGCAGCAGATCCGGCCGGGAACCTGGGAATGACAAACTGGGAATGGGAAACTGGGAATGGGAATGACAAACTGGGAATGGATCAAACTGGGAATGGATCAAACTGGGAATGGGGACAGCGACAACAGCGCGGGGACGGCGGGAGGGACAGAGCGGGGCAGAACCTGGGAATGGGAAACTGGGAATGGATCAGAGAAACTGGGAATGGATAACTGGGAATGGATCACAAATACTGGGAAACTGGGAATGGATCAGAGAAACTAGGAATGGATCAAACTGGGAATGAGAAACTGGGAATGGGAAACTGGGAATGGACCAAACTGGGAATGGGATCGGGAACAGGATCAGGAATGGGAACAGGAAACTGGGAATGGGATTGGGATTTTTCGGGATAAAAGTGGGGACTCTGTGGGATGAAAACAGGGATTTTTGGGGGTAGAAACTGGGAAATTTTGGCATAAATACTGGGAGTTTTTAGGATAAACCTGGGAATTCTGTAGCACCAAAACTGGGATTTTTCAGGATTAAGAAGCGGGATTTTTTGGGGACGAAATCCGGGATTTTTCAGCAATAAAATTTGGGATTTTTTTGGTGACAAAACGGAGATTTTTGGTGATAAAAACGAGATTTTTTTTTTTTCCTTTTGTTCCCACCTTGCTCGGGGTCCCCCGGGGCGGGGCCGGGGGCCGGGGCCCCTCCCTGGCAGCTCCTCCTGGGCCCCCCGGCCCCCGCCCGGCTCCTCTTGGACGGGGAAGGCTTCACTGGGGGAGAGAAAAATCCATCAGAAAATCGGGAATTCCCAGGGAAAAGGGGAAATCCGGGAGGGACGGGGGAATAAAGGGGGTACAGGGGGGAAAAAAGGGATTTTTAAGGGGAAATAAAGTGGTTTTTTAAAGGAAAATAAAGGTTTTTTTTAAGGGAAAAAAAACGGTATTTCAAAGGAAAAAAAGAGAAATTTTCCCAGGAAAAAAACAATCGGTTTTCCACGGGGAAAAAAAATCGGTTTTCCGGGAAAATAAAGTGGTCTTTTAGGAAAAAAAAAAAAGCGTTTTTTTAGGGAAAAAAAAGCAGTTTTTTAGAGGGGTTTTTTAGGGAAAAAAAAAAAAAAAAGCAGTTTTCCAGGAAAAAAAAAAGCATTTTTCCAAGGGGAAAATAGCACTTGTCCAGGGAAAAAAAGCAGTTTTCCAACTTTCCCAAGGAATTTTTATGACAAAAAAAACGCAGGAAAAATAGAAAAAACCTGAAAAATATAGGAAAAAATAGGAAAAAATGGGAAAAAGATGGGAAAAAAATGGGAAAAAAAGGAGGGGAAAGCAGGAATGGGAATTCTTTGGGAATTCTGGGGGAAATGTGGGCCCGTGGGGCTGCACTCACGTGGAATTTTCCGGAACACCGTGTGGCACATGAAGCGCTGGAAGCGCTCGGCGTAGAAGCTGGGCCGGTGCACGGACACCGTGTCCTGGAATGGCCACAAAAAACGGGAATTAACCCCAAAATCTGGGAATTCCGGGGGGCAGGGAGGAATTCAGAGGGATGTGGGGAGAAATTCTGGGAATCTGGGTGGAAATCCCAGGAATTTGTGAGGAAATCCCAGGAATTCAAGGGGGAAATCTTAAAATTTGGGGAGTTTCCTTAAAGATTGGAGATTCTCCATAAAAAGGGGCTGAATTCCCTTAAAGTAAGGCACTTTCCCATTACAAAAATCCCATTTTTCCATTCAAATCCCCATTCTTTCCTTTAAAAGTAATCCCATTTTTTCTATAAAAATCCCCATTTCCCCATTAAAAAATCCCTTTTCCTTAAAAAAAAAAATTCCTCTCAAAAAAAAAAAAAATCTCTTTCCATAAAAATTCCCATTTCCTCCCCAAAATTCCCATTTTTCCCCAAAATTCCCATTTTTCCCCCTCACCCCATCGTGCACCAGGGCCTTCCAGGAGTGCTCGAGCTTCTTGACGAACCTGCAGGGAGGGAAGGGAGGAGGAATTCCCAGAAATTCCCAGGGAATTCCCAAGGTTTGGCTGGAACTCCTGCTCCAGGAGGGAAAGGTGGGGTCAGTTAATTGGTGAGGGGTTAATTAAGGGGTTAATTAATGACCTGTAGGACTGCAGCACGTCGATGATGCCGATGTAGAGCAGCAGCCGCTCCCCCCGGGAATTCCGGGCGGGAATTCCGCCCATCCTGGGAAAACAGGGATTGGGATTGGGGATATGGGGTTTGGGATCGGGGATTGGGGATTTGGGTTTGGGGATTTGGGGTTTGGGATCAGGGATTGGGGATTTGGGGTTTGGGGATTTGGGATTGGGGATTTGGGATTGGAATCAGGATCAGGGAATGGGGATTGGGATTTGGGATCAGGGATTGGGATCAAGGAATGGTTTGGGATGGAAAAACTCCAAAGATTCCGAAAAATCCATGGGCAGGGACACCTCCCAGCTTCCCAGAAATCCCAGTGACTCCCAATCAACCCCAGTGACTCCCAGTCCATCCCAGTGACTCCCAGTCCCTCCCAGTCCATCCCAGTCCCTCTCTCACTGGTCCTCAGTCTCGAATGTTCCCCCTCTGGGTGCCTCTCCCTGGATGGACTCCATGGCCGTGGAGTAGAGCGCTCTGCCGGGACACGCTCCATTCCGACCCCACTGACTCCCAGTGACTCCCAGTGACTCCCAGTCCATCCCAGTGACTCCCAGTGACTCCCAGCCCCTCCCAGTCCCTCTCTCACTGGTCCTCAGTCTCGAAGGTGCCTCCCCGGGGTGCCTCTCCCTGGATGGACTCCATGGCCGTGGAGTAGAGCGCTCTCTGTGCCGCCGGCCGCCCGGGGCCGTCGCCGTCCCCTCCGGCCGTGCCGGCCGCGCGCTCGCGCTGCGCCTGGTCCAGGTTGTGGATGGCCACCAGCAGGCTGTAATCCATGATCTTGAAACTCTGCAGCACCTGGGACGGACAGCAATTCGGGAATGTGGGGAAAAATTGGGAAAGCAGCAGAGCACCCATCGTTTTCCCACAAAAAAAAATCACCGAAAATCAGGAAAAACACCGGGACAAGCACAATTTTCCCGCCCAAAATCAGGGAAAATGGCAGAAACAACCCACAAAAAAAAATTTTTTAAAAAGACAGAACACCCCAAAAGCTCCTCAGGGGAACCCAAAACCTCACCAAGCAATCCCTCTGCAGCGTCTTGCACAGGGCGTTGTACATGTCCGAGTCCAGGAAGAGCCCGTCAGGGAGGTCCTGCATGAAATCCAGGTCCTTGAAGGTGGGGAAAACTTTGTCCCTCTCCTTCTGGGACGCCCGGCGCTTGTAGGTGGAGCCCTTGAGGTCGTACTTGAGGTGCATGCGCACGGAGCGGGGCAGCAGGTTGTTCATCACCACGATCCTGATGTTCTTGCCCCCGGCCTGCACGCAGTACAGCCCGTAGAACTTGGGCAGCAGGGTGCGGGGGTTCTGGTTCAGGTTCTGCAGAGGGGGAAAATTTCAAAAAATTTGGCAAAGTTCCCGTTTTCTGGGTTTTTTTTTTGAAGGGTTTCGGGGTTTGGAAAGCGCCAAAATCGCAGCAAAAACGAGGCAAGAGCACCAAAGCCCCTCTGGTTTTTGGGTTTTCTGTGAATTGTTGGGGTTCTCCATGGAATGTTGGGGTTTCCCACGGATTTCAGGGATTTTTCTGTGGATTTTTGGGGTCTCCCATGGATTTTGGGCATTTCCCCCTGGATTTTCAGCATTTTAAAAGTGCAGACAGCCCAAACCCAACAACAAGAACCCGACCCCGGCGACTCCGCAGATCCAACCGGGAGGGTTCCGGCGTCCCAGGGGTTGGGAATTCCCGGAATTCCCGGAATTCCCGGCATTCCCGGCTCACCATGTAGTATCCAGGCAGGAGCTTCTGCAGGAACTCGGCCTCCTTGTGCTGCACGGTTTTGATGATGAACTCGTCGTCGCTGGACACGTAGAAGAGCGAGCCGCTGGCGCCCGAGTTGGAGAGCTCGATCAGGGGCTCGCTGCACAGGGAATACTGCGGGGAAAACGGGAAAAACAGCTGGAATTCCATCGGGGAAAA